AGAGTACTATAGATAGTACAGCTAGATCATGAATGCGAAACTCAACTGGATAGATAGTAACCTAATGCCGCAGATTGGGATTTGGACGACGGCCAGGGAAGCAGCCCGCAGCGGCGCAACCTGCTACCGTAGAAGGGGACCGAAAGGGGCTTGGGGTGGGGGGCCTGCCCGGCGTTCCCGATGTGGGATGGAGATGGCCAGCTGGGTAGGCACGACGGCAAGCGGTGGTGCCGGCAGTCAGGGACGCAGCCACCGAGCAACGCCTCCTAGGGTTCGTCCAAGTCGAGGGAAAGGGGCGGTGGGCAGGCAGGCAACGAACAAAGGAGATGGGCCTCTTCTAAAAAACAAAGAAGATGGGCCTCAGTGCCTCACGCCCCATGCCGCCTTCGTCGTAGTATACAGGAGATAGGCCTGGGGCCTGTCTCCGCCCATGCATATGATGACTATCTACTAAATCCCCCAAGAACAAGAAGAACAAATATGACCAAGAAACAAGCCGCTGCCAAGAGTGAGAATGGTAGGGGATTGAAGGACAATTACCTCATATAGTCTAGAATCCTCTGCTTTGTCAAATAAACTTGTTAGTCTACTACTCTAGAAACCTCTTAGGAACCACTATGAAGTTATTTGTTACATATACACTCCAAAGAACTCTACTGGGTCTTATAGATAATTAATGATACTATTGGCAATCCCATGATTTTTTATATAAAACATCACAAAGCAAATTTAAAATAAAACAATATTTGTGATAAGAGTATCACTTTACAAGACCATATAAAGCATGACTATGTTATTACTTATGATATTTCTATTCACAAACAGTACATCAAAGAATGTGTCAATACAAATTGAGATATGTTTAGTGCCAATATGATTTATGAAAAGGTATAAAAAGTTCACACAACAAATATGCATTAAAGAAGCAAACTAAGACAAAGTGCTTGTGTGCAAAAGGATTAAGGTGAAGCAATAAATGCAAAATATCAATTTGTCTGAAAGGAAAAAAAAGACTTCAGGTTAAGAGTAGATTTACTCTTACAAAACATTATCATAAATGCAAAAGAACTGAGGTGAAGCAATACTTAGGGTGCTTTTGTGTGCCAAATAAGTTTGATTTGCCTTATTACGAGCAGTGTCCTTGGGGACTGGAACAAAAGCCTCATCCATGTTATACCACTTGTCTGCACAACAATAAAACAGAAAGGTCAGATGTGCAAAATGATACAAAAAATGAGTGCAGAAAGATATTGCAACAATCTATTTACCATTAGTAGGCAGGTTAGGATAGAACATGGAGCAGCCATCCCGGATGTACTTGGTGCCTTGATAGTTCTTGGGCGTCCTAGGAGGGCACTCTCGCTAGCGAAAATCCTAGGAGGCAGGTACTCGAGCGACCTTTATTGGAGTAATGTGTTCTCTGGAATTCTTGACAAAGCATGTGTCGTTGTTCATATTTGTGTTGTTCTTAATACTTTGATCACTAGAGGGATCGCACACCTTTAATATGCCGATGACACAATTATCCTTACAAAAAAGGATGACCTAAAAGCCACTGACTTGAAATCCTTCTGACAAAAAAACTTAACATTTTTCTATTCAAATGGTTTCAAAATGACGGTATAAAAAAGAAAATATAAGAATACAATGTTCTTCATTTGAATCCAATAGAATATTTTTTTGCACCTAAAAAAATCTGATTACACTATAGGAAATAATAAAGAATTCCTCTGGAGATTCCAGCAAATGTAAAATTTCATATGAACGCGGAATGAAATACAACAACAACAAAGTCTTTAGTCCCAAACAAGTTAGGGTAGGCTAGAGATGAAACCATAAGATCTTGCAATCAACTTATGGTTCTGGCACATGGATGGCAAGCTTCCAGGCACCCCTGTCCATGGCTAGTTCTCAGGTGATACTCCAGTCCTTCAGATCTCTCTTTACAGACTCCACCCATGTCAAGTTCAGTCTAGCCCGGCCTCTCTTGAATTATCATCACGCTTTAACCGTCCGCTATGCACCGGCATGCACTGAATATGCCCAAACCATCTCAGATGATATTGGACAAGCTTCTCCTCAATCGGTGCTACCCCAACTCTATCTCGTATATCATCATTCTAGACTCGGTCCTTCCTTGCGTGGCCACATATCCACCTCAACATGTGCACCCAACTGTTGAACATGTCGCCTTTTAGTCGGCCAACACTCAGCATTATACAACATTGCAGGTCAAACCGCCATCCTATAGAACTTGCCTTTTAACTTTTGTGGAACTTTCTTGTCACAGAGAATGCTAGAAATTTGGCGCCACTTCATCCATCCGGCTTTGATTGGATGGTTCACATCTTCATCGATATCCCCATCCTTCTACATCATTGACCCCAAATATCGAAAGATGTCCTTCTGAGGCACCACCCGCCCATCAAGGCTAAACTCCTCCTCCTTGTGCCTAGTAGTACTGAAACCGCACCTCATCTACTCGGTTTCAGTTCTACTAAGTCTAAAACCTTTCGATTTCAAGGTTTGTCTCTAAAGCTCTAACTTTCTGTTGACCCCCGTCTGACTATCATCGACTACCACCGCATCATCCACAAAGATCATACACTACGGGATATCTCCTTGTATATCCCTCGTGACCTCATACATCACCAAAGCAAAAAAGATAAGGGTCCAAAGCTGACCCTTGGTGCAGTCGTATTTTAATCGGGAAGTCATCAGTGTCGCCATCACTTGTTCGAACACTTGTCACAGTATTATCATACATGTCGAAATAAGTGTAAAAATTCATATAGGATTCAGTCCTACAAATCAAACAATGAAAAATCTACACAGAAAAATTTCTAAATAATCTAATCATGCAACTGCCTATGGAAATTCTTTGAATAAAAATGAAGATATCCTATAATTCTGATTTTTTTTCATGCGCAACACTCAAATCCTTATTCTTGTAGGAACATGTCATGACTTTTCAGTCTAGCATTTTTTTACTCCAACATTTTTAGAATCGTGCGTTCCAACGGGAACCATAACTTTTACTGTTTTACCTGCTTCTTAAAAAAATAAGTATCAACAAGAAAAAAACATCAAATCAGCTTTTTTTGTGTGTTGTTGTTGCCGCTGATGCTGATGCAAAGAACAAAACCAGAGCAAGCATTGTAGGATATGAAAAATCTAATTAACCATCTGGAACCCGTGCGTCACAAGAGCACTCACTCATGCCGGCCAAGTAAACAAGCACTCGACTTTCTCTTGTGCCAGAAAACAAGAACTTTCTTCTGTGCACAAATAGCCAACGTGTGTAAGGGCATCTTCAAAGCTGACCGCAAATATGTTTGCTATATGTCCATTTTTATATCTGGACGTCATCCGCAGATATGATGCCGGAGGGAGCCATCCAAAGTTATTCATAAATTAATCCTTGTCCGGTTAGGAGGAGAGAGAGGAGAGGGGACCATGCATGTGCGGAGATAGAAAAGAGAGAAGGATGTCCGGACTTTGGTATAGCTCCCTCACGTTTGTCTCAGTTTTGCCGAAAAAAGACGTCCGAACCACTTCGCGGACTGATGAGGGTCCCCATTGGATGACAGAATTTGCCACAATCAATCCAGACATCATAACCCAGACGTATACTGGAGCTTTGATGATCTCCGTTGGAGATGCCCTAAGTGGCTAACCCCACATCATGTCAGATAAATCTTTGGTCAAAACCTTAGTGCAGAGGACACCCAACACGTCTAACTCCTCAAACACACCAGGGTGATCCTTCTCGTTTTTCTCCCTAATCCTAGACCGCTAGGGAAAACTCTCCCTTCCAGGGTTCATTGGCGAGTCCGTGGATTCGCCTCCCCTTTGCCTGCCGCTTCGGCAGCCAGTGGCGGGGAGGGGAATGTCGGTGCCTTCGCTCAAGTTAGTAATTTAGGTTAGGTGCGGCGCTTCGGTAGATGTTGGTGTGTCTTCTCTGAGTTTGTCCTCCAAACTCCAATCCTTCTCGAGTACGTCTATCTGGATGTAGTCGACGAAGCTTCGGCGTAGATTCCCGCGGCAGTGAATTATGGTTTCTCATCATGTGGTGAGATTTGGTGTCACGTGCTTCAGATCTATGCGGGTTTAACGGCAATCACTATGGCTCCAGGGCACTGGTCCTTATGGGCACATGTATGAAGACTTCATGGGTGTCATCGACAAGGTCAAGCCGGCTCTGGCAGGGAAGCGACGACAATGGTTATTCGGCTGTTTTAAAATCATAATGTCATTATTATTATGTTTGACATGCTTTGTATGTTCGGTGAACTTTTATAATAGATCTGATGCTTTTCGTAATTCAAAAAAAAAAACAAGTGCAGAGGATGATGATGAACTGAGTCACTCCCCAATGGAGCTCAGCTGCATCATTGCGCTGGAGATCAGTGGCGGAGCCAGGAAAAAGTATTAAGGGGGGCCAAGTGTTGCTTATCCTTGGCAGGGAGGGCCAGCCCACTAAAATACATCATTTTCACAGTACATAATCACTTGTTTATATGTATATTAGGCTTAAATCAATTGTGTTAGGGGGGGGCCAGGGCCCCTGCTGGTCCTCCTGTCTCCGCCACTGCTGGAGATGGCCGCTCGGGATGGAACACTACTCGGGACGGAACACTACTCTCACGGCGATCTCCTCGACGCTACCGCGGCCAGGGACGCTGCCGTTGTTTGTCAGCAAAGCTTGTGTTTGTGCGTCCATGGAAAACAGAGTGCCGTGGCTCTCATATATACAAGATAGAAAAAAATAACAAAGCATCATTCATAGTACTGAATATTGACTGAATTCAACAATAAGCACGTACAGGAAGGCCACAACATAGATATGCTTATTTTAGCCATTTCATTGGCCAAAATAGCTAAATGAGTTGCTCCAACAAATTGGTAGCCGAGAAACATTTTTGGAGAAAAACAATAGCATTGACATAGTCTTTGAGATTGGGGAGTCCTTCCAACGAGATTCATCTTCAACTCAGACCTCACGAGCGGAAGTGAATATCAGGAGAAGCCGTCGCCGACGCTGTTGTCATCTTCTTCCTCAACAAATCCACCTCCTCACTGGTCCGTGGATAACTTGAAGGACGAACAGCCACGTGAGGAAACTTTTCGAAACAAAATGGACACACCTTCCTGTCGTGCAGGGATACCTCCCTGATGTTCGCAGCAGCTTGAATGACGCGTCTAACGTATCCGATGAAATTGTCATGGGACTGGAAGCCGTAGATAGTTAGCCTTGTCAGATTCTTCTGCTTAAAATGAGGATCAGATGGTTCCCACTTCACATCCGCTTTCATGCGACTCTTTTGTGACTCCTTTTGGCACTTATGATCCCATACTATGATGGAAAGCTCCTCTAGGTATGGTGCAGTTTCAAGAAGGAACATTGTCCAAGCAATATCACATTCTTCAGGAAGATTGTCCAAATCCACAAGCCGCAGTTTGGTGAGCACAGGAGCAAGCACTTTTGAGCGTTCTGGTTGAACCCAAATCTGGGATAGACAAAACAAATTAGAAGTGATAATGTGTGCAGTTTGTGCTAAATTGCATCATCAAGTTATGCGTAATTAAATTACTACCGTCAGATATAAGCATCATATACAAAATTAATGAGGATGGGATAGAGGAGTGAGTACCTTTTCACTTCGAAACTCCAGATACAAATGGCTTACAGTGGGGGCATTAGCAAGCAGCTTGCTTAGGTTGAGGGTCTTGCCTGAAAGATTTGCATTAGCAAGACTGAGCTTCCAAAGCTGAGGGACAGTACCAAGAACCAAGGGATTTTCATCACAAGGCCAATTATTATAGGTCATCTGCTGGAGCTTTGGTAGAAAGTCAAGCACCACTGTTTTAAACTCCCCATAGGTGATAACAAGCTCAACGAGTTGAGCGTGTTGTACATGCAGCACGGAACGGACCCCCGCATCACACTCAAAGAAAGACAGGGACTGGAGCCGCTTGCAGGTGCTAAGAATATTGGGTATGTCCGATTCACCAAACCTCATATTCTGCAGTTGCAGCCGTGTGAGACCAGCAAATGCTTCTGGACAATCTTTTAGAAAATCATCGAACTGCTTAGCGAAGATCAGGAAATGTTCCCCTGTGCAATTAAATGAATCCCTCAGTGTCAAGATTTCAAACTCGGCCGCATCTAGTTTCTGAGTCGCCATAGCGAGCGCAACAGCTTTGCCGATGGGGAGACCGCGAGGACTCAAGAAGAATTTGACCTTCAGCTTGCGAACGGTGATCTGTGGAGACCTTGTACTAAGGATGTTTGCCGTCACGTTGGCCACAACGCCGTTCATTCGCACCAAATCGCGAGGGCTGAGATCGATGACAATCTGCGAGAGCATGCCGGGCAGCTTCTGCATTTGCTTCGAGAGGATGCAGGTTTTGACAGCATCAAGCGTGCCCACCCTCTCGAGGATGTTGAGCAGCACGTCATTGGGCAGCTTGCTTAGCATGTCATCGTCGTTGGGCAGCTTGCCTAGCATGTCATCATTGCCAGCTGCTTTCTTGGACTGCAATTAACCAGGGGGAAATTAGTCATCCGTGATGGATCGATGCTCATCAAGGGAAAAATTACAATAACAAAACACAAAACTTGCATCACGGCGGCGGCGATCCCTATTGAACATCACGGTAATCAGATCTCACAAAAGAACAACGTCGGCAAGCTTGCGTCCATAAACAAGACGTCCGGGCTGAGCTTATTATAGCCTCCTCAGATCCTCCTCCTAACAGAGGAGACGGGGAAGGAGACGGAGGAGAAGCTCCTTTTTCTCATACAAACCGAAATCGACCCCTTCCTTCTTCGAATCCGACTACATGACGAAATTGGCACCTGACCCTTCCTTCTTCGAATCCGACTGCAGAATGGATTTGATCTCCTTCATCTAGAGCATCCGGAGGGTCATTATATAAACACCGCCGCAGCCCTGTGCGCCGCTGCGCCTCCTCGTGCGTGCCGCTGCCGCGCCTCCTCTGCCGCCGCCGCCGCCCTGTGCCGCCGTGCATCCTCGCGCGTGCCGCCGCCGCCGCCGCTCCCCACCGCCGCCGCACCCCGCCGCCGCTGCGTCCTCCTCTAACGCCGCCGCTGCCCCGTGCTGCCACGCCGCTTCCACTCCCACCCGCTGCGCTGACTTGCTACCGCCGTGTGCCTCCTGCCGCGCCGCTGCCGCCCCGTCACGACGAAACCCTAACC